AGCTTGTGTTTCCTTATTTATTTTCATTTTGGATGATCTGTCCATTGGTGAAAGTGGGGTGTTGAAGTCCCCTACTATGAATGTGTTACTGTCGATTTCCCCTTTTATGGCTGCTAGTTTTTGCCTTATGTATTGAGGTGCTCCTATGTTGGGTGCATAAATATTTACAATTGTTATATCTTCTTCTTGGATCGATCCCTTAATCATTATGTAGTGTCCTTCTTTGTCTCTTCTGATAGTCCTTATTTTAAAGTCTATTTTGTCTGATATGAGAATTGCTACTCCAGCTTTCTTTTGGTTTCCATTTGCATGGAATATCTTTTTCCATCCCCTTACTTTCAGTCTGTATGTGTCTCTAGGTCTGAAGTGGGTCTCTTGTAGACAGCATATATATGGGTCTTGTTTTTGTATCCATTCAGCCAATCTGTGTCTTTTGGTGGGAGCATTTAGTCCATTTACATTTAAGGTAATTATCGATATGTATGTTCCTATTCCCATTTTCTAAATTGTTTTGGGTTCGTTATTATAGGACTTTTCCTTCTCTTGTGTTTTTGTCTAGAGAAGTTCCTTTAGCATTTGTTGTAAAGCTGGTTTGGTGGTGCTGAACTCTCTCAGCTTTTGCTTGTCTGTAAAGGTTTTAATTTCTCCATCAAATCTGAATGAGATCCTTGCTGGGTAGAGTAATCTTGGTTGCAGGTTTTTCTCCTTCATCACTTTCAGTATGTCCTGCCACTCCCTTCTGGCTTGTAGAGTTTCTGCTGAGAGATCAGCTGTTAACCTTATGGGGATTCCCTTGTGTGTTATTTGTTGTTTTTCCCTTGCTGCTTTTAATATGCTTTCTTTGTATTTAGTTTTTGACAGTTTGATTAATATGTGTCTTGGCGTATTTCTCCTTGAATTTATCCTGTATGGGACTCTCTGTGCTTCCTGGACTTGATTAACGATTTCCTTTCCCATATTAGGGAAGTTTTCAACTATAATCTCTTCAAATATTTTCTCAGTCCCTTTCTTTTTCTCTTCTTCTTCTGGAACCCCTATAATTCGAATGTTGGTGCGTTTAATGTTGTCCCAGAGGTCTCTGAGACTGTCCTCAGTTCTTTTCATTCTTTTTTCTTTATTCTGCTCTGCAGTAGTTATTTCCACTATTTTATCTTCCAGGTCACTTATCCGTTCTTCTGCCTCATTTATTCTGCTATTGATCCCATCTAGAGTATTTTTCATTTCATTTATTGTGTTGTTCATCATTGTCTGTTTCATCTTTATTTCTTCTAGGTCCTTGTTAACTGCTTCTTGCATTTTGTCCATTCTATTTCCAAGATTTTGGATCATCTTTACTATCATTATTCTGAACTCTTTTTCAGGTAGACTGCCTATTTCCTCTTCATTTGTTAGGTCTGGTGGGTTTTTATCCTGCTCCTTCATCTGCTGTGTGTTTTTCTGTCTTCTCATTTTGCTTATCTTACTGTGATTGGGTTCACCTTTTTGCAGGCTGCAAGTTCGTAGCTCCCGTTGTTTTTGATGTCTGTCTCCAGTGGCTAAGGTTGGTTCAGTGCGTTGTGTAGGCTTCCTGGTGGAGGGGACTAGTGGCTGTGTTGTGGTGTATGAGGCTAGATCTTGTCTCTCTAGTGGGCAGGTCCACGTCTGGTGGTGTGTTTTGGGGTGTCTGTGGACTTATTATGATTTTAGGCAGCCTCTCTGCTAGTGGGTGGGGTTGTGTTCCTGTTTTGCTATATGGTTGGCATAGGTTGTCCAGCACTGTAGCTTGCTGGTCGTTGAGCGAAGCTGGGTGCTGGTGTTGAGATGGAGATCTCTGGGAGATTTTCGCCGTTTGATATTATGTGGGGCTGGGAGGTCTCTTCTTGACGAGTGTTCTGAAGTTGGCTCTCCCACCTCAGAGGCAGAGTCCTGACTCCTGGCTGGAGCAGCAAGAGCCTTTCATCCACTCGGCTCAGAATAAAAGGGAGAGAAAGTAGAGAGAATTAGTATAAGTAGGAGGAAATAGGAAAGAAAGAAAGAAAGAAAGAAAGAGAGGAGGGAAGGAAGGAAGGAGGGAAGGAAGAAAGAAAGAAAGAAGAAAAGAAAGGAAGAAGGCAAGAAGGAAAGAAAGGAGGGAGGGAGGGAGGAGGGAAGGAAGGAAGGAATGAGGGAAGGAAGGAAAAAATACAGAAAGAAAGAAGATACAGTAAAATAAAATAAAGTATAATAAAGTTATTGAATTAAAAAAATAATTATTTAGAGGAAAAGGTGGCGGCAGCAGCAGCCCTAGCGTCTCCCGCCCGTCCCTGGTTTCCGAGCTTCTAGCCGCGGCCCGCGCCCGCCTCTGGAGCTCCTCCAGGCAGCGCTCTCAAAACCCCTCTCCTCGCGCACCAGGAAACACAGAGGCAAGAAAAGGTCTCTTGCCTCTTGGGCAGGTCCAGACTTTTCCCCGGACTCCCCCCCGGCCAGCCGTGGCGCACCAGCCCCCCCGGGCTATGCTCAAGCCGCCAACCCCAGTCCTCTCCCCGAGCTCCGAATGAAACCGAAACCGAGCCTCAGCTCGCAGCCCCGCCCGCCCCCGGCGGGCGAGCAGACGAGCCTCTCGGGCTGGTGAGCACCGGTCGGCGCCGATCCTCTGTGCGGGAATCTCTCCGCTCCGCCCTCCGCGCCCCCGTCGCTGCGCTGTCCTCCGCGGCCCCGAAGCTCCCCGCTCCGCCCCCCGCAATCTCCGCCCGCGAAGGGGCTCCCAGTGTGTGGAGACCTTTCCTCCCCCACGGCTCCCCCCCACCGGCGCAGGTACCGTCCCTATCCCTTTGTCTCTGTTTATTCTCCCCTCTCTTGCCCTACCCAGGTACGTGGGGAGTTTCCTGCCTTTTGGGAGGCCCGAGGTCTCCCGCCAGCGTTCAGTAGGTGTTCCGCAGGAGCTGCTCCACGCGTAGATCGGGAAATCCTTTTCAAATGGACTTTTTTTTTTTTTTTTTTGCGGTACGCGGGCCTCTCACTGCTGTGGCCTCTCCCGTTGCGGGGCACAAGCTCCGGACGCGCAGGCTCAGCGGCCATGGCTCACGGGCGCAGCCGCTCCACGGCACGTGGAATCTTCCCGGACCGGGGCACGAACCCGTGTCCTCTGCATCGGCAGGCGGACTCTCAACCACTGCGCCACCAGGGAAGCCCTCAAATAGACTTTTTATTTGTTTTGGCAAAGATAATACCATGACAAATATACTCCAGGTTTCTGAGGGCCCTTTCCATGGCTGATAAAAATAAGAATGATTTAGGCTCTTCTAACCAGCAGGTATTAGATAGACCTCATCCTTTCCTGGTACGTGTGCTTTTGCCACTTTGGCATCAGGGAGGGTGACCAACTGTCCCGGTTTGCCTGGGAATCTCTCAGTTTTAGCGCTGAAATCTCTAAATCCCAGGCAAACCTGAATAGTTGGTCACTATAACTTCATCCATATTCAGCCTCATTAGACAGATATTTTCTGATGTGTATTTAGTTCTCTCTGATGGGCTGTTCTTTGAGGGAAGTATATCGCTTTGTCTGCTCTGGACTGATTTTTTCTTTTATCTTGAAAGTTAGCAAAAGCACAGAGATCTAAATTGTGACACTTTCAGTTTGGACGCCTGTTTCATTGACCCAGCACTTGAGTGCTAGAAGGTTCTGTAGCTTTTGCATACAGCATTTCTTTTTCCAGATGAAACAACTAAAGCTCAGAGGGTGGTTGACTTATTAAGTCCACCCAGTTAGCTACAAATGGATCCAGACCTTAAACCTTGGGCCCCTGACTGCCAATCCCATGCTTTTCTCAAATTCCTTGAAAGGCACCCTTGCCTCTCAAAGGAGTTAATTTGCTTTGAAAAACTGAGCAACTTTGTGCCAGGAAGAAGCTGATTGACTTAGACTGTGCTCCATTAATTGCTCCCTGTAATTCCCCGGCAAGAGATGACAAATTCATTTTGAAGAGCTGTGGCAGGCACCTCCTTCCCATGGTGAGGCTGTCTCTTCTCGTAATCACGGACACTGCATCATCCTCGAAGAGGAAGAGGTTAATCAAAGTATCTAATTCGGAGGAAGAGGCCTTGTGACCCTGTTATTTCTATTAATATTTCCAATTAATATTTTATCTTGGAATAATAAGCAGAAACAGCATTTGCTGACTACCTTTGGCTGTTTAGAAGATGAGCACATAAATGTTAAATGTTGCTCCCTCTGAAAGACTCACCACACTATCATAAGCCTATATTTTATTTATAGATTAAGCTCAGTATTCTGAACCAGCTTCTACATGTTGCATCTGTTCTGTAATATCTCTTCCATCAAATCAGGAAAAAAAAATACCCTAAAAACGGAATCTTGAAATTCAATGTGAAAAATCCAAAAGCCAGTCAATATTTTCATTGAGAGATGGCAGCCCCAAACACTTTCTTAAATTAGGGCTGTTCTTCCAGACTAAATTGCAGAATTAAAAGACCACCTTTTATCCACAGTGAGATGGTGAGCAAATCTTAAGACTCATGTTACTCAAGTAGCTGAGAGCAAGGTTCTTAAGGAGTTTTCCCCATGTCTAATTTTATTTCCTAGACTAAATGAATCAATAGAGCATTTTAGTCTAATATGTTCCTATTGTCGCTTTTTCCCACTTAAAAAAATCCTGTAAATCAGCAGTATTTAATGTTACAAAATGACTAGGGCATTGAGGAGAATTTTTATTGCATCAGTGTCTTTATAGTTGGACAGTTTAAGAACATTGACTGATGGATCCTTAGTTCTATGATATCCTTAGCATAAACCAGTGGTAAGTAATTGTAGCTTTCTCAAGATGAATGGATATTTTGAGATTTCTTAGAGGAGGATGGTTTGGAGTAGGTCAGTGTGAGCTAAGGCCAACTCACCTTCTGAATACGGTTATCAGTCTTGCTAAAAAAAAAAAAAAAAAACTTCCCTGCAGAGAGCATGTGACAGGGGCCACTTGAACTGGTAACTGTAATACTGATTGCCACCTCTCTCTTCTGTTATCAAGGGGATTATCCAAGATGGGAAAATCATCTTTATGCCGAATGGATACATAACACAGTGTCCAAACCTGAATCGCAGTAAGTAGCAACTTAAAGCATTTCTGAATTATTAATATTATATAGCTTGTTGATAATATCAGAGAAGCGCTTCAGGAAGGATACAAACAGTTTACATTGTTGACTTATGAGGTGGTGGGGTTAGTGAGAGATTTTATGTATACTAAAATACTTCTGTGTCTTTGGATTTTTAAAAAGCTTATGTATTATTTGTAGAATTAACATTTGAAGGTAAGAAGAGATTATATGAGCAGTTTTGGGTCTGTAGGTTAATATAGAAAGTTGTGTTTCGTATAATTATATAAATATACGTATATAAACTATTTTTAAAACTTGTTGACTTGGATATATATGAGTGTACTTTTGCTGCTTCTGCGATAATTCACAATTCTTTAGTCCCAATAAAAATGAGAGTTTAGTTTAAATTTAAAAATGTTTTCAAGGTAAAAACATTCTGTCCTTTTCAGTTAGTCCTTGTTCCTTCCTTTTTGCTTATTAATAAAAGGAAAAGATCTAGATCTGAAATCCTCTGAATTCACTCCAGTTTTGAAGTCACACTTAACCAGAAAAGCAAAAACACTTTTATATAGCTAAACAACTACTGTTTAAAATATATATATATATTTTCTGTTAGCACAGTAGCAACATTTATTTTATATTTTCTTTATTGAGCTTGTCCAACTTGCAGTGATTTCTTAAGCCTGGTGCAAGGAATAATGGATTTACAAGAGCTTTTGGCCAAGATGACTGCAAAAGTAGGTATCTAAATTTCACTTGTGATGTTTCATTTCTTTGTCCATCCTATCTGGAATTTAGAGTGATATGCTATAATGGAAACATTTTTAGTGTTGGCATCTGCGATATGTTACTATAAAAATGGTTTATTCTTTCTTGAAATAGGAAAACCTATAGTAAACAGAACCATTTACGCCTTTGATACTATTAGACTGTATCAAAATACTTACTTGAAAAATGTTTGGAAGAAAAGCAATATGTATCACTGTATATTCCCTGGGAGTGGAAAAGGAATTTGCCCATTGGCTGTTAAACCAGTAACACTGAGAGATGATATATGGTCAGAGTCACTGCTGCTTATAAGCTAATGCATTTTGGATGCAAGAATCATTGCCAGTAATCGGAAAGGGCAAAATAGCTATTGTTAGGAACAGATTATTGTCACAGGAAGGCATTATGTCACATTTCTAATATATGATGCATTTCAAAACTGGTCCTGAGTTAAATAGTGAAGGAGGCAAAGTTTGCCTTTCAACACCTTCAGTTTTATAATTCTGCATCTTTCCCTCCTCCCCATGATTCACTTAACAAGCATCTTTTGAGGATCTGCTATTTGCCAGGCACTGTGTTAGGCACATAGGAGGCAGTGATGAAGAGGATGTGATTTCTACCTCAGAGATGTTCATATTGAGTGGCAGAGCCGGGAATGTAAACAATTAGGGGCTTTGATAATATCTACTCATAAAGTTTAGATTGATAATGAAAAGCCCTGAGCCTTGTGAGGAAAGGCGCTGAATAAATAGAAAACGTGGCCGATGCTGTTGTTATGATACCGATCAGTCGTGGACATGAGTTCCAGCCTAGGGCAGAGAAAGAATTTGGTTGGCCCTAAGAGACATTATGCTCTGCAAAAGGGAGAATTTTAATAACAGTGAAAATGATACCTTAATCCTATCGTACCTGCGGCTGTGACTGCTCCTGCCATCAGCCGTAGCACGTGGAAAAAATCGGTGGGTAGGTCAGTGTTTGGGATGTAGGGCTGTATTTTGGACTCAAAGACTCTGCTGCTGAAGATAATGTTTCTGCTTCAAACTAGGTCTTTGGCCAAGTCCCCTTTTGTCTGCAAAGGAGAGAGAGCACTTTTGTAAAGAGAGAAACTAAAACTGAGATTCGAGAGATTCTTTTCACTTCAGAGAACAGTGGAAATGTGAAACATAGGCAATAATTTGCCTTCCCAACTTGTGGCATATAGAAGCTTTTATGTCATATCGTCTGAAGCAGCTTGATCTCAATACTGTTAATTATATTTTAGCTCGCTACCACATTTTTGGAACAAGAAACATGCCACTCAGCCTCAGGTGACTGTGGTTCTCCATCTCCTGGTGATGAGAGTGCCTTTTTTCATTCTCATTCTTTCCCGTTGCAGGAATGTCATTTTTCTCTTTTTAGCTGTACATTATTATCTAGCAGCCACATTGAGCTCTGTCCACAAAACGTTATTATGTAAAATGGCCATTTGTGAGGCAGAAGATATTTAATTGTGAGCAGAAAATGGTTTAATCCACCTTCTAAACACTCCCAGCACTTTGGAAGATTTATAAAAGTCTATTTCTTTCAAACCGTGAATAGAATTATAATTAGAAAACTGAGTACTTCCATCTTCACTGCAAAATTTGGAATCTGTGATAATCTAGAAGAAGAGTTGGCAAACTTTTCTTGTAAGGAGCCAGCTAGTAAATTTTAGTCTTTATAGATCAAGAAGCAAAATTGAGAACATGATGTATATACTTATTTCACTTCAATGTAATCAATCAATATAACATGAAAGGGGGCTTCCCTGGTGGCTCAGTGGTTAAGAATCTGCTTGCCAATGCAGGGGACACAGGTTTGATCCCTGATCGGGGAAGATCCCACATGCCGCGGAGTAACTAAGCCCGTGCACCACAACTACTGAAGCCTGTGCACCACAACTGCTGAAGCCTGCGCGCCTAGAGCTCCGCAACAAGAAAAGCCACCGAATGAGAAACCTGCACACCTCACCTCAGTGAAGACCCAATGCAGCCAAAAAAATAATAATGATAATAATTAAATAAATTTATAAAAGAAAAAAATATAACATGAAAGGATGCTCCACATTGCTAATCTTCAGGGAAATGCAAATCAGAACCACAATGATACATCACCTCACACCTGTCAGAATGACTATCATCAAAAAGAACACAAGCAACAGATGCTGGCAGGGATGTGGAGGAAATGGAACCTTTGTGCACTGTTGGTGGGAAGGTACATTGCTGCAGCCACTGTGGAGAACAGTATGGAGTTTCCTCAAAAAAACTAAACTAGGACTACCATATGACCCAGCAATTCCATTCCTGGGTATGCGTCCAAAGAAAACAAAAATGCTAATTCAAAAAGATACATGCACCCCAGTGTTCATAGCAGCATTATATACAATTGCCAAGCTATGGGAGCAACCTAAGTGTCCATCAACAGATGAATGGATAAAGAAGATGTGGTAGTTAAAAAATAATAATAATAAATAAATAAAAATTTAAAAAAAGATGTGGTGTACACACACACACACACACACACACTGGAATACTACTTAGCCATGAAAGAATGAAATTGTGCCATTCACAGCAACATCAATGGACTCGGAGGGCATTATCCTAAGTGAAATAAATCAGACAGGGAAAAACAAATGCTGTATATCACTTATATGCGGAATCTAAAAAAATCTAAAAAATACAACAAACTAGTGAATATTTAAAAAAAGCAGCAGACTCACAGATATAGAGAACAAAATAGTGGTTACTAGTGGGGCGAGGAAAGTGGGGGAGGAGTGATATAGGAGTGGTAGATTAAGAGGTACAAACTATTATATAATAAGCTACCAAGATATATTGTACAACACAGGGAATCTAGCCAATATTTTATAATAACTATAAATGGAGTATAACCTTTAAAAATTGTGAATCACTATATTTTACACAGGTAACTTATATAATGTATTGTACATCAACTACACTTTGATAAAAAAATAAAATATAACTATTGAAAAATGTAAAAGTTATTCTTAGCTCACAGGCCATACAAAGATAAGTGCTGGGCCATATTTGGTCCATGGACCTTAGTTTGTCAACCCCTGATCTGGAATAAACTGGAAAGATATTCATATTAGGTAATATTTATTGAGCATTTACTATGTATTAGTTACAACGCTTAAACTTTTATATTCACCCTCTCTATAATCCTTCCAGCAATCCTCTGAGCTAGGTTTATTAGCCCACTGTCCAGATGAGAAGACTGAGTCCCAAGAAAGTTATGTAGCTTTTCCCAAGAAAAGTGGATGGCAAAGCCAAGGCTCAGACTTAGATTCTGTAAGTTGGATCATAACCAAGGAAGTTTATTGTTGGAGGAGAGAAGATTAGAAAGAGAACCAAAAGATATGAAGAAGGAATGACTGATGGAGAGAGTGAGGTGGAAGCTACCAGTAGGAGGATGGCGATACCAGTGAGAAGAAGAATGAGCACATAAGACGAGAGGAAAAGAGAAGTGTGTGTTCAGATGGTACCTGTTGGGAGTGAAACGTGAGCATAGAGCTTGTGGCAGCTTTTGAAGGAGGAATGTCAGGGCAAGGACAAGCCCTCTTAACTCACCCATCTGGTTACAGCCACTTGTTTTCCTTAGACAGATGTGGGAATTTTCTGAGTCCTGGGTTTACATTATGTGTCCTCCTGCCAGGACCGCACAGGGGTCACTGCTATTGCATTATCTCCTTAAGGGTTTTCAGATCATAGGGAGTGCTCAGAATCAGACTGCTAACCTAGGATCAGCCAGGTGAATTCTCAGCAAAGAATTCTTTAAGACTTCTGAAGGAAGATATTTCCCTCTAGCCAGTGCCATGGTCTGAGTAGGAAGGTCTTCCTTCTGAGCCTGGTGGAAACCTTGTTTCCTTTTCGTTCACTCTTAAGCTGAGGGTACAGCCCTTTGGGGCTGTACCTTGATGTAGGAGTTTCCTTTAAGACATCCCATCTTGGGCAGACCCTGTTCTCTATTTCCTCTCCCTGGCCCCCTGTGCGAGGTGGGAGCTTGAGGGCTCCATGTGTTGGCTAACGTCATTGGAGGTTGGCTTTGGTGCTCACTCGCCTTCCTGGATCCCTGGCTGTCAGTTTGTTTTGGCCACTGTGGCTTTATTCCTTTTCTATCAGCTCCTGTGATGATTTTTAAAAGTTGTGATTTGTGTATATTATCCAGCATTTTAGTTGGTTCAATTGGTGAAGTCTTTTAGGGTACCTAGTCTGCCATCTTGGTGGAAGCAGAGTGTGATACATCTCTTGGCAGAGTGAAGGAGATGGAGTCTGGAGTGATAAGACAAACTGGAACTCAAGTAGGGTTCCTGGGTGCAAAGGGAATTCTATGGCACCAAGTCAACCTGGATTTGGGCTTTGCCTTTAGTTAAATAAGACTATCGTGGCAAGATTTAGCTGATGGGTTTGGAGGTTTGGTTTGAGTTGCCCAGCAGCTGTGATTAAAATAGGCATTAGTCATGTAGATCATGGAGGAGATAGAAATGGGCTTTGAGTAAGATTCAGCTGATGTTGAATCTCATTTTTATCGCTTCTTTGGATGTTTGCAGCCTGGAATGAGTCACTGGTCTCATTTCTAGCTGCAGTTTCCATGTATGTAAAATGGTGACAATTATTCTTCGATTTATAAAGATTGCATTGAAAGTTGCTGTCAGAGCCCCGGTCTAGAGCCAGGAGGTTTTGGAAAGCAGCAGAAAGTCCTCACACTTGGGTCACAGTGGAAGCCATGGAATCCTACCGGAGAGCGAGCCCAGCGCACAAGCTGGACAGGAGTTGGTAGCCAAAGTCACATCAAACCAGACAGACACAGACACCAGATCAGCTCAGGGTTGTGCCTAGGAGGGCTTGCTGTTCCTTTTCTCCTTTCAAAGTATAGGGTGATTGAAAATGACTGCCCTTGCTTCATATAGGGAAGATCAGGGAAGCAGCTTGCAGGGAGCTTCAGGTGACAGAGGTCAGGGTACAGAAGAGCCCTCTTGAAGAATCCCAACATTGTGGCAAAACCATACTTTTTCAAGGGGGAGAAGGTGCAGGGAAGCAGTCCCCTGATACTTGCCCTAAGTGATCCACAAGAGACCACCAATCCCCTGGCTTATTCTGGAAATTCTCCCAGGTAGTCTCTACACTGTGGGAACCACAAACCTGCTGAGCCAGGTACACAGCGATAGGATCAGGCTGTGTCCTGCTCTTGTATCCCACCTGTGAGGTAATCACATTCTTCCTTCAAGCTCAGGAAGAAGAGATGCTGAAGATGGGGAATTTCTTGATTACGTCTGTTTAAATCTTTGACAAATCTATTTATGTAAATCAAGCAGCACTTGGAGTGGCGTTTCAGCTTGTAACATTGGATTTTGAGACTTTCATTGTTTCAAGGAGCTCAATAGTGATTTTTCAATTAGGCTTAAAGGTTTAACACAATAGATTTCTTTTTTCCCTTTTATATAGCAAATGCCAAATAAATAATATTTCAAAGGAAAAAAAGAAATCTACTGCATGACTAATGTACTTAGATTCATTCATTGACCTCTTACTGTGAAAAAGGCCTCTGCTGTCTGTCTTTGAATGTGTACAGTTAAGAATAAATGATTCGGTCCATGGTTGCTTGGATAAATGCGCAAACAAAGGTAAAACAGAAAAGATGTAGATTTGATACCATATCTATTTTGGATCTGCAGGCATTCTTAGAGAAAATGGCAGGTAGTGGGGAAATAGCTTTTGAAAATGAATTTGTATAAATTCAGCATGCTAATGCCAGTGACAGAAAAGGTAATTCATTTTTTAATTCAGAGTTGTTTTTCTCCTTTATGTTGCTTCAGGATTTAGCAGGGGAAAAGGAAGGCAAGATTACATATTAAGTGCCTTTGAAAAATTAGCTTTTTGCCTTAATATTCCTTTGTCTTGGTGTCTGTCTGATGCATTCTTATCATCACAGAGATTAGGGTTTTTCACTGTTGTCAGAACAGGCTAAATATATTAAAAATTTAAAGACAGTACTCAGAAGGGAAGCAAAATTGGCTTGAGAATAGCTTCCATTGTATTAAAATTGAGGCTTTTCCTTGGAATTGAGTTTTGTAGGTGAGCATAGCTCAGCTTTGTTAGGCAGTACTGGAAATTGACAATATTGCCTTTAGGCAAGCTTCTGGATTTACAGGAAACTTGGATAGATACAGAATAGCCTTTTGAACTCGTCCTTAAGAAGTCCCCTTCTTGGAGTGATTCAGACACTAGGGTTCTTCCAGACTTTCAGAGTAAGACAGGGACTTTCCTCTCACAAACAGATTCCTCATCCTGAGCCACTTTTAGGAAAGATTCCCTTCTAGTTCAACTCTTTCTTGTTCATTCCACGGTCATATATCTATCACTACCTTATGTGGGAACTACTGAGGCTATAGAAATGAAGTAAAGATAATATGTGATGAGTTATCACTTCCTTTTTATTATCTCTTACCAATACATGGTTTTGGTACTTGGTGTCACCAAACTCTTGGAAGTATATGTTATCTGCATTTCCTAAAGAATTCCCAGAGAACGTAATTACCGTCAATTCTGGATGCTCTATGATTAAGCTGGAGATTTAAGTGTAACTTGAATTTTTGGAAGATCATGTATAGTAGAGAGTCATAGGAAGCTAATTTTCAGGCACGGTCGACTCAGTTTTTTCAGGGTTGATTATAGTGCATGTGGTTTGTTTAGGATTCTATTTGTTCTTTTCTCTTTCTCTTGGTACTACCCATGGCAGGCAGACGAGGAACAAATTTTCTTGAGAAAGTCCAAAAGTTTAGAGCAAGAGATGGAATAAATGACAAAAACCAAGGTTGAATTGCATGTGGATTCCATTTCCAAAGAGTAGCACTGTTATGAGTAATTGAGAGGAGCATGTACGGACTGGAACCATAGAAAATGTAGAAAGATGGTAGAAGTCGTCATTAGCCAGGTTCAACCATTATAACTAAAATATTGCCTCGAAATAGTCTTAGTTGGGCTCAAAAATTGATTCAATCTCCTGTATGGGGAAAATACTCAAGACGGGGATATATGAGTATGATTGAGAAGGAAAAGAAACTGTATGATGAATTTTTAGAAAGTGGTATTTGTTCTTCTATCATGACCTTCTCTATGTAAGGAGAAAGGAAGAAGAGATTGCTACCAGGCTGAGTCACTCCTTGGTATGGATGTGATGACAGAGAGATCACACCGCATTTCAAGTTTTTTTGTACCATAGTTTTGAAGGCAACCTGGAGTTGCCTACATGGAAAATGGTCAAGAGGGAGGGTTGGAACCATATCACGAGGAGCTGTTAGGGGAACCTGGTGGGGCTGACTGTGGTCAGGGGCAGGCATGAGGACAGGATAACCTCAAATGTTTGTAGAGTGGTTAGATTTGCTCAGGATGGGCCACAAGGCAAAACTAGGTCTAATAGGAAGAAGGGAGAGAAATTTCACAGCTCAAGCTAAGAAAGACGTTTCAAATATCCAGAGCTAACCAAGAAAAGTAGCTTTCCTTGGAAGGTAATGAGTGTCCCATCACAGGTACATGTGCAAACAGAGGCTGGGTGACCACTTGAATGGGTTACTTGTCACGTCATTTAAACTTTATAAACTCTTTCAAATCGGAGATTCTAAGATTCCACATTTAATGGTAGCAGTTGGGTGACCTAAAAAAAAGGAAAAAGGTTTTCTTTTCTTCTTTTTTTTTTTTTTTAACAAAGTCCTCATCTCACCTGGGGGTTCGGTTGCCTCTCTTGAACTTGTCTGAACACCAAAGTGGATTCCGGGGCATTCTATCTGGAGGATCCTGAGCTGGGGAGAAATAAGATCTGCCTATGACTTCCCAGAATTTTTCATAAAAGAGGAAGCAGTGATTTCCCGGCTTGTAAACCATGACACTCTGGTTAGTGTGTGAAGAACAGGGATAGGGTTGCGGGAGATAAATGTAAGGGCTGTAAGAGCTGCTGTAAGGGCTGTAAGAGCTGCTGATTAGATCTCCTGTAAACATTGTAACGAGTCCTTGAGAACACATTCATTACAAGTGTTTCTGTGTGAGTTTGAGCTGAAAGCACACGCGTTGATGAACACCCATGAGGTCCCTGAGATACAGTTTAATGGCTCATTTGGTGCTTATTAGACCATGGGAGCCAATATGTCTTCAATTTAGAATGCTTCTACCTTGTGTGAAATTAAAAGAAAAATCTTCGAAAAACAGATCTGGCTAAGAATCATTGAACTGCTTTGAGCATTTTTTTCCTCCTCCCGCTTGGATTTATTTTTTCTGCTTGTGATTAGCTTTGTTAGGACAATGCAGTTGAATTACAGAAATTACACGGAGTAACTCTTGTTTGCAGCTGAACTATGCAGAGACAAGACTTAGTCAATTGGAAAACTGTCATTGTGAGAAGACCTGTCAAGTGAGTGGACTGCTCTATAGAGACCAAGACTCCTGGGTTGATGGTGATCACTGCAGGAACTGCACATGCAAAGTAAGCCTCTTTGTACCTAAATGGACAGTTTTAAGAGGGCAGTTGTGCCTATTTAGTAATTGGCGCAATTGTGAAGGCAAGCTGGAAAAGTGTCATTACAAATACAAATACTTATCAAGAGAAAGCAGATTTTAATTTCCAACACACTCTAATATGATCTAACATGATTAAGAAGCTTACTGTTTCGAGATTAGAGTATGAGAGGGAGGAAGGGACTCCTTTGGTTTTCAAACAACCTAATGGTTCATTCACAACTTTTCTCTGCTATAATACATTTTAAAAAGGTGGTTTAATTAGTTTCTAGGTGTTTTCATTGTATTTGATGAGGTATCCATTTTCTGTTTTAGAGAATTGCAGGACCCCCTGACTTTCATGTTATCCATTATTTGCATTATTTGTATGTACTATTTGATCTGTTTCAGAGAATTACAAGAGGCACCCCCAAATTAATATGGAAACCCAGTTCAGTTGAAATTATTTGATAACTATCTGAAGAATGCCATTGTTTGTCTGCAAAAATACAAAATGATTGTTAACGCTTCAACAGTGGTTGACAGGGTCTGCAAAAGGTGTTGTTTATGTTCTTGTAAAAATAGGCTTTTCTGTTTTCTGCCTAATCTACTTAGTCCACATGGGCAGGTGGAATAAAGCCAGTGATGTATATCAGAAAAGTAACTGAGGTAGCATGGGTTCATTTGGGCTAGAGAAAATTCTTTATTTGTGGTCCTGGAGTGGACTGGGAGTTTCTCACACTGCTTCTGTTTCCCTGGTGAGGCTTCTGGGAAGAAATGTGAGCTTTTTGCTGCTGAGGTCACTTCTGCTGAGATTCCTTTCCCTGTCGTTCCTTCCTCAGAGTGGCGCTGTGGAATGTCGAAGGATGTCCTGTCCCCCCCTCAACTGCTCTCCAGACTGCCTCCCCGTGCACATTGCTGGCCAGTGCTGTAAGGTCTGCCGACGTGAGTACTAACTGAGGGTCAGGGTGGCCCTCTGTGCTTCGAGATTGATTTATTCTGCTATTTTTCAGGCCCCAATTGATTAACATTGATGAAAGGAAGTCCTAGCAGTTGATATAATAATAAGTGTATGATAAGAGTGGCTATATTTTAATCACTTGTGACGTGCAGACACTTTACATGGGCTATTTTTTTTTTAATCCTCACATCAACCTTAATTATTATTCTTTACATTCTTATGTAGAGGACACTGGTGTTCACAAGTATTAAGTCACTTGTCCGTGGTCAAACAACTGGTAGTGTGTGGAGTTTGTCCGAAGTCAGGACTCCAAGGCTCCATGTGCTTTGGTCCCCTCATTTTGATTGATCAAGGGCCACACTCTGTGTTTCCGCTCTCTGAGGTCTTGGCCAGGTTTCCTGTTATTAAAGGGCCTTTGTTAGGAACTTCTGGATTGAACTTCAGTTAAAATATGGGAACAATTTCCTTCAGAGTTGGTTGGTCCAAATTATATAATGATTTAAAAATCCTTTTCCCTCTGTATTACAAAGGACCCTCTTACAAATGAAATGGTGAAATGAACACTGAGACAACCAGGAAGGGTAAAAGGTGTCATTTAGAATGATTGGTATGTGCCAGTTACTATTTTAGGTCATTTCATTCTATTAGCTTATGGAAACCTCACTGCAATCTTTTAGGTGGGGATTATTTTTATCCCTGTTTTATAGGAAGCTTGGGGAAGATAATTTACCAAGTTTGCAAGACTGGTGAGTGACAGAGGTGTGATATAAAATGAATTCTGTCTGGCTACAAAACTCATAGTCTTTTTATCAAACCATATGCTCTTCTTTGAAAAAGGAGAGTTTAGGTTAGAAATGTGCCATCCGATGGATAATTTTCAAGACCATTTCTCTACCAAAAAAAACACCATCATCACTAGGTCTTCAAAACACAGTGGTCTAGTTTTTTGTCAAGAATAGCATGTCACCTAATATGATAGTGGAAGTGGGGATAGCTGGTCTGTTGTATCAGCCCAATCTTTTTTTATACTCTTTCAAAAGGAGCTTTGGAAAATGTCTTCTATTTATGGTTGGCACGGTACACCCATTACTCTGGAGGGCTTATGCAGAGTTGATCTAAAAGAAACTTTCTTATTTCTATTCTAAGTGCTTTTGGAAGTCATGTCTGACAATACAGATAGATCAGGGGCCCGGATGTTGAGATTATAGTTTGATTCCATGATGGAAAGATAGTTTTTAGTAGGCATAGATTATTTTTTTCTATCTTGATATATTCAATATAATAGAGGAAAAAGTTGAGAAACTTAGGAATTTGTTTAAACAATATGATGTACTTTTAAGCTGTTATTTTGAGCTCTGTGGATAGATCTGTGAATGCTATCTCTTGGCAGTTGTTGTTTGGACATGGGAGTAGGTGAGTCCTTCAGCTGTTTTTTGTGTTAAGCTTTTGATAGTCTACTTGTAAAAGCGATGTAACATTTGAAAACACATAAGCGTAAAGGTAAAGATGGAAAAATCACCCATAATGCCACCACTTGGAAACAAACACTCTTGAAGTTGTAGTGGATTTCGTTTTTTAAAACATATTTTGTGGACAGTTGAGGTCTTATGATGCAGATAATTTTAACCTACTTTGCGGACTTACCATTATCACTTAAGTGTATTACTGTCCTTTAAAAAACTCTGTATAAACCTCATTTTACTGAGCTTCATAGTGTTCCACTCTTTGGCTGTTGCGTAACTTATTTAATTATTCCCCAATTGTTGGATAACTAGGTTGTTTTCCCACTTTTCACTATTATAAATTGCTCTTCAATAATATGTTTTGTGAGGACACATTTTTGTATTTTACGTTTTCTTAAGATAGAATTCTCCAAAGTAGAATTATTGGGCCAAGAGACTGACATTTTCAAGGTCCTTGATATATATCATCCAGTTATCCTCTCACTAGAAATGTGTGGGATAGTCATTTTTCTTTATTCTAATTTACTGGAGAATATTAAGTTTTGAAAAACATTTCAGCAAGTTACCCGATTTTACCAAGATGCTGATACATGAGCTAGCTAAACCATCAGTGTGCTTTTTGCCTTTGTTTGGAATTGATAGCAATTTAGCTAGGTAGAATGAATTTTCTCAGCAGCTCTGATCGGTAGTTTGAGATGTTTATAGTTTAATAAAACGGTAATACAAATAAATGCTTAAGAACACTACTCAATTTATCATATGACCCAGCAATTCCACTCCTGGTCATATATATGGAAAAGACTAGAAGGGTGGGATAGGGAGGGTGGGAGGGAGATGCAAGAGGGAAGGGGATATGGGGATATATGTATACGTAAAGCTGATTCACTTTGTTATACAGCAGCAGCTAACACAACAATGTAAAGCAATTATACTCCAATAAAGATGTTTTTAAAAATAAAAGTAAGCAGAAAAAACCCCTCTAATTTGAAAAGATACAGAAGTTTTCAAATATTTTCACATCAGGTAGAGGATGGAAAATATTTCCTTTGGTTGTCCCTTTCAGATAAAATTTCCTAAGCTACTCTCTGGGTTTGGGTGGGGCAGTGTCCTAGGGTTTCTGAGAAAAAGTATTGATTTCATTCAAGAGCTGATACATAAAAGCTGATTGTTTTGTGTGCTCGTTTACTAAGTGTTCATCCACTTGTCATGGCTTCAAGGATTTGTAGCACTTACAGATGAGGGCATCCATGTGGCAGTAGGAAATGACTTGGTCTAAGTGTTTAAGTCTCAATTCACTGTCTGAGAAAAGTACTTTATTTTGATCAAAAACCCCAATAAATCAGGCCATCTCCAAGAGCAAGGCAGTTTTCATAATTCCTGATACTAGGCTCTTCCTCCATCTTTTTGGGAGGCATCAGGGAAGACTCAGGAGAGCCTTCTGGATTCCTTAGCTATGGGCATGGAAGTCCAGAAAGTAGTGCAGGAGTCTCATTCCTCCAACATTTCTTGGGGGTCCGCTCTGTTTAAGGAATTGAACATACCTAGCTACACATTAGAATCCCCTGGTGAACTTCTTAAGATAGAGTGCCCCAGGGCCCCTCTCCGACCTGCTAAATCAGAATCTCTGGACAGTGGTGTCCTAGAATTAGTATCCTTTTGGTAGATAGATTTGGGAACCATCAGAGATGGGAGAGAAGGAAAAGGATGGAGAGGGAATCTTGAGCTATGCAAAACAGCATTTGCAAAGGAAAACGAGTTGCAGAAGGAAAGGGAGATAGTCTGTTAGGTGATAACAGGATTTCTGTAGGTGAGAAGTAGAAATAAGCTGCAAAGGCGGGTTGGGGCTGGATGGTGGTGATTGTATTCCACTGAATTCATTCAGTCATCCTTACTGAAATTCCTCTCCCAGCTCTGTTCTTTCCTCTGGTTACAGCAACGGGCACATGTGGATCATTCATGCTATGTCAGACACTGTTAAGCTTTTTTATGTGTATTAATTCATTTAATTCTTCCAAAAACCTAGAGTCATAGGCTCCACTGTGATCCCCATTTTATAGATGAGGAGGTAAAGCACAGAGAGGAGAACTAACTTGTCCAAGGGCTCTCAGCCTTGGTGGAGCCAAAATAAAACCCAGGTAGTCTGGCTCCGGAATTAATGCTTTTAACCTGTCTCCTCTCCCCGCTGCTGTCCAGGGGGATGTATGCCCCATCTCATTACAACAGAGTATTGTGCAGTATGTATGCTATGTAAGATGCAAGGGTAGCACAGAGAAGGGAGTGATTAATTCCATCAGAAACTTGGGTGTGTGTGTGTTAGGAAGACTTCATAGGGGAAGGAATAGCTGAGTAGGGTGCTGACAAATGAATAGGAGTTTGCCATGTGGACAAGGTAGGCAAGAACACACCTGCCAAAGGGAATTGCACATGCAGAATCATGGAAGTAAACACAGCGTTTGTTTGGGGGGCTCAGAAGCAAGCTTTTGAAGCAGGGTTGTGGCATAATCAGAGAAATGCTTTGATAAAAGCCCCTGCGTGGGGAGAGCTGGAGGCAGGGAGCTGGATGTGGGATTCAGGCCCATTTGCAGGTGGAGGTGATGAGGCCGGCAGGCAGGTAGGCACAGCCGGGGGACATGGAAACGAAGGGATGAAGCTGAGCAATGGCCAAAAGACCTGGGGCAGGGTAGGTACTCCGTAAGCATTTTTTTTTTTTTTTTAACGTTAGACAGATGAATCAGGAACAGAGCATCTGTAAGGGAGAAGTTGCCAGGTTTCGAACAAGAGCCTGTGGGAGACTCATAGTGTGATTAACAGAAATAAGGCAGGTGGAAGAAACGGTTTCAGGAGCAATACATTCTGTTCGGCGTAGGAGAGTTGGAGACGGCTGAGGGACAACCAGTTTGACGTGGGCGTCATGCTCAGAGAGGTGGTATCTGAAGCTGGGTCTGTGAACGAGCTCACCGCGGGAGGATGGCTCCTTGGGTGTTGAGCTTTTCTGCTCTGCCACTCTCCTTTAAAGTGTAACACAGAGTGTTGATTTTGATGTTATCAGCTGCTGAGTGCCAAGGGATGGCTGGAGTGTGTGCAGGGTGCAAATCCCTAAATAAAGACAGAGCAACCTCACATCCACATCTGACAGGGGTGCCAAGTGGGGCCTAAAGGTTGTTTATTTAGTGTGCACCCAAATGGCAAAAGTGTCCATCCATCGCACTAGAGAAATCAGGCTCGGATTTGAAGGGCCAGGTGTCTGTGGGTGCAAAAAGATACAACTGCATAACTGTTTCTGTAAATCCCCGGTACCTTTGTTTCTGACATCGTGGAGAAGTGTGTGTTGGTGCCGAGTTTCAATTTCATCGTCGGACACTGTGAAATGGTCTCGTTTGCATGTCCCCAGTGTGATGTGAAGGGCTTCAGGTATCCATTTACATTTCTACTCATACTAAAAGCTGTTGGAATGGCATCCCAAATGCCCCAGACACAGGCATCGGAGCCTGACTTACCTTCTGCTCGAATTTCCCAGATATCAAAAATAAGCCTTTTGGCTGTAGATCAAGAGGTTAGATAATGAGGACTGGTGTTAGGCATACAGTGGGGCCGGGAAGGAAGGCCATCGTCAGAGAAGTGGGGTGAGGATGAGAAAGCAGGGGAAATTCTTGTGACCTCCAGTGGTGATGCTGAAAGCTGTCCTGAGATAACTTTGGAGATACTGATATTGTAATCGTCCATGCATCTTGCGTCAGTACTAAGGCTGTGAATGGCTGAGGTATACAGCATCATGTTGATGTCATTTGCAGCCCCTAAGGCACCCTGACATGTGAAGACGTGAAGTTCAGTGGACATTTAATTTTTATACCAGATTGGTAGATTTGAGGGATGGATGTGTCCCCGTGTGTGGTGTGAATATAAACAGTAAGACACTCCTGTCTCCATATCGAAGTTCTGGGGTGAGTGTCTATCAGAGGATGAGAGGAATCGGGCGAATGTCTTCAGACAGGGTAGCAAGTGTGATCCTAACATCATGGGGGTGGCAAGGTGCAAAAATAAGGAAGGAAAGTCTATTTCTTTGCTTCGCACCCTGGGCCAAGGAACAGATGGCAGATTTGACAGCCGTGTATTTAGCAGAACTGTCACTCTGGAGCAAGCCATTTTGCCAAGTTGGCAGCAGCTGTGTTTGGGAGTGTGGGAGTTTATTAGGCAGGAATTTCAGGCCCTTGGAGGTATGGTCTCCCCATGCAAGCAAATAGGGGAATCATTAGGACCCATGAGTCAGAGTCAACTGATTTATCTGGAAAACTGAGGCATAAAAGGTGATCGGGGATCATTTTTTAAAATGAAGTGAGGAAGGGGGTTATCTAGAAATGTTTATTGGTTCTCTACCTTGTTGTTGATGGTTTTGCTCTGAAAACCTTGGTGTCTGCTTTTAAAGTTTGGAATAGCATTGAATAGCAGAAAGAACTCTCATCTGGGAATCAGCAAATTTCTCTGGTTTTTGCTACCAAGGAGGCTCATTAATTCTAAAATTGTTACTAACGATAAGCCCAGAGAGGCACTGAGCCTGGGACTAGAGATAAAGTTATGAATAGACATAGTTCCTACCCTCATTGGGGGCAACAGAGGTAAAATGTGATATTTTCTCTGTTAGGGCGAGGTCCAGAGTACCACACAAACACAAAGTGAGGGCAATTCTCCAGTGTTAGAGGTCAAGAACAACTTCTTGGGGGGAAGTCAGGCCTAAGTTGAAACTGATGGGTATATAGGATGGAAGGTTACCAGGAGCAGGTAGATGAGGCTGAGTGTTCTGGAGAAGCAGAACAGTATATGCAGATCCCAGAAGCAGAGCGTGGCTGGAGTCTGAAGTGGAGGTGTGAATGTTGGGGAGTTTGGGAGGGAGAGTGAACGCACAGGGTTGGCCTTGTGTGCTGACTTCAGGAATCTGAACCATATTCTGAGGGCATGAGTGACTCATAATGATTTTAAAGCAGAGCGTCCTATTTGCACTTAAAATATGTATTCGACTGTTGTATGGGGAAGGACTGGGTAGGATTAGACCAGAGCATAGGAGGCAAGTTAGCAAGTTTCCCGGTAGACTAAAGAGGAGGGATAGCCTGAGTGAAGGTAGCACCTGGGGGCAGGTGGTGGGAATGGAGAAAAGTGGGTTGACTTGAGAAACAAGGAGGGAGCTTTGCAGGGATTTGGGTACTGATTGGACACGGTGCTGAGTAAGAGGAAGGGGTTAGAAGGGCCCTAGGCGGTGGGGTATGGGTGGTGGGTGTGGAGGCTAGGGGTGGATACTGGTGCCATTCACTGAATGCAGATACTAGAGAGGCACAGATTTGAGTTAGGTATGTGCTGTTTGTTGCAGGGCAGGTTCTGAGAAGAAACAGACTGTGAAATGGAGATTTGCTTGTACTTTATTAGGAAGTTCAGGATCAGTTCTGGGGTGCGAATGAAATAGTGAAGGAAGCTGGATTGGGCAGAAGGAGAGGTTGAACTGCAGTGCAGTTACAACAGATGCCTCAGCCATTTCTCCAAGGAGTTGTGGAGCTGGAATGACCCTTGGAGTTATCCTGAGTTGGGGCAAGGGGCCAGGACTTTGCAACATCTTCATCAACCACTCATTGGATGTGGGCTGTGCTGGGAAGGCGCCTTGACTTTGGACAAGGGCAAGTCCCGGATCACTATTCAGCTGAGAGCTCTTGCTCATCACCTGCCTGGCAGTTTCAGGAATGTGACCTTTAGCCGTGGAGGGGGATCTGGGTTGCACACCATAGTAGCCACTGTGGGATCGTGATGTTAAGTAAACCAGTGTCTCTGGGCTTTCCTCTTCCTGTGGTCAACAAGAGGGAGTTGGATGAGTTGTTTGCTGAGGTCCCTACATACCTGAACATTCCATGAGTCCGAAGATTGTAGAATTAAGAAACTACCAGATTGAATTCACCTGTTTCTAACAGATAGAGAAATGGAGGTTCTGAGAGATGAGGTGCTTTCTGTAAGACAGTGAGTTAGTGGTGGAGATCTCTTAGAGTGCGTGTCTTCACTTCTGCTTCACCTGAGGACTAGGGCTGAAAGCATCCTCATTTGTGCGGAGAGGGAGTGACCAGGCCTTTGCTTTCCTGTTCCTGTGGATGTGGCTGGAGAATTTAGCAGAGATACATTAGGGTCATATCAAATTAACATATTCTGCACTTGCTTAAAAGTGGGTCAGCATTTATGCTTCTCTGTTAACCTTTTTCCAAGGCCTGTCTCTCCTTCCTGCCCTCCCTGTTAGCCTGTTCAGCTTCCCTTTCCAAAGGCAGTCTGTCTAGTGCATTTTGATAGAGCATTTTACTCACTTGTATTTCTTAGTTGTCTCTGAGCTTCTTGGGAACGGTTAAGTTAAAGACATGCGCTTCCTATGATCACAAGGGGGAAAAATGGTGTCTTTCTGCATGTGACTGAGGTCCTGATGAGTGGAGTATATATGCAAGTCCGCTCTCACCCAGTCATTTGTTTTATGGCTGGAGTAGCTGAATCAAAGCTATGCTATTATACTCCACGGTGATGACAACCACCTCTTCCTTGTTTTAACATTGACCACATCAATTCATTCTCTAGTTCCTTCAGCAACTGCAGCATTGAAATAGTTGTATGTGCTTGGTGTGAAGGACTCCTGGCAAACATAATAGAGATGACAGTCTGAAAGGGGATTCAACAGTTATCCCCAACCTATTTCCATGTCTTACTTCCAGACATGCAAAGAGCTTTGCATTGCTTAGAATGAGAGCATTTATATTCTGTGGAATCTACTGGAGTTGGATGGTGCCCCTGAGGTCATTTTGTTGCATAGCATGACTGTCTGAACTGTTTTTCTGTTTTATTACAGCAAAATGTATCTATGGAGGAAAAGTCCTTGCAGAAGGCCAGCGGATTTTAACCAAGAGCTGTCGGGAATGCAGAGTAAGTTTCAATCTTATGATCCCCATTACTTGTAGAGAAGGAGATGCGGGCTTTAGGTAGGAGTCTGGAATGCAGCATATTGTCCTGAGTGGATCACTGAGGGGAAGGACTCTCTGGTGGGCTTGAGTCCTGGCTGTGGGGTTCCCAGCCACTGTCATTGTGTGGTTAGCCTGTGGTCAGCCGTGGATCAGGTAGCCTTGGGAAAGACTGTTAGGGAAGGAAGTGAGAAGGGGGAAGGGAGCTAGCAGCTACCATGAGTCAGGGAGGTTGTCAGGTGGCCCCGAGAGAAGGTTTTGATTTGGTGTTGGGGCAATTAGTCTGTGATGTTAGTTGTGGATAGTGCCACTTCCGCTCCTAAGAGTCTGATACGATGTTAGACAATGCCTGTCTCCTGCCTGCCCCATCCCGTGTATTTCTCAAAATAAGCTGTGTAGAACCATAGATCTCATTTAAGACTATACTTCAATAATAATAATAAAAAAAACCCAGGGCTTCACTGGTGGTGCAGTGGTTGAGAGTCCGCCTGCCGATGCAGGGGACACGGGTTCGTGCCCCGGTCCGGGAAGATCGCACATGCCGCGGAGTTCGTGCCCCGGTCCGGGAAGATCCCACATGCCGCGGAGCGGCTGGGCCCGTGAGCCGTGGCCGCTGAGCCTGCGCGACCGGAGCCTGTGCTCTGCAGCGGGAGGGGCCACAACAGTGAGAGGCCCGCGTACCGCAAAAAAAAAAACAAACAAAAAACCAACAAACATGCATTGAGCAACTGCTACTTACCCGCATGGTACTAGATTCTGGGTGTGCAACAGTGAACAAAACAACGTCCTTGTCTTCATAGAATTTGCAGTCTGGTGGGGAGACAGACAGTAAGGTATAAACAAATAAATATACAAGATGCAGCTGAGCCTTGAACAACACATGTTTGAACTGTGTGGGTCCACTTATGCACGGATTTTTTCCAGTAGTAAATACTGCGGTGCTACACTATCCACACTTGGTTGTATCCCTGGATGTAGAACCGTGGATACAAAGGAACCACAGGTACAGAGGGTTGACTATAAATTGTGTGCCGATTTTAGACTGTGTGGAGGGTCGGCGCCCCTGACCCCCGCATTGTTCAAGGGTCAACTATGATGCCAAATTCTATGAAAAATACAGAGCAGGTTGAAGGGGTAGAGAGCTTTGAGGTGGGGATGGATGGTCCGGGAAAACCTCTCGGAGGAGGTCATATTTGAGCAAAGTGCTGGATGAAGTGTGGGAGCTAGCCAAGCACTTACTTGGTTGAGGTGCTGTCCTAGAACGCAAGAGTGAGAGACAGATGGAAAGAATGAAGAGAGGGAGAGCAAATTCAAGGAGGTGCCTTCCGGAGCTGCCACTGCCCCACAGCGAAGCAGGCCTGGTTTTGAGGGGCATCTCCAGGGAGGCTGGCTGGAACTACGGTGTCTCAGAATAGACCATCTCTCCAAGTGCTGTTTCCTGTGGCATTTCATTTGCTTTTCGTCACATCCCTGGAGAAAAGAAAGGAGTGTATTTGAAAGGTTGAGGGGAATGAGGCATTTAGAGACACGTTGAAACTCTCAGGGAACTCGAATCTGGTTCTTTTTGGGGAGCTTCGGGGGAAGGAAGGCTCTTTCCTGTCTCCTGTCTCTCATTGGCCAGAATCTACCGCAGGAGTTAACTCCTTTGAGCCTCCCCACTGTGTTTCCAATTCGCTCTTTCTTGGCTGCCCCTGGGAATGGCAGAGATTCCATGGGTCTGGACAGTCTGGCGGGTATGCAGGTGTGGTGGTCCTTCTGCGTCAGTGGGGACTGTGGGGTGGACTCCTTAGTCTGTGGCAGAGGTAGAGATGGTGTGACAGTGAGGGCTTCGTGATCTCTCAATCAACCATGGGAGCTTCCAAACCTGGGAGTGGGGAAGCGGGTGGGTGGCCCCCAGCGTGCAGCTGGGACATGACCACATAGGAATGGTGGGTGGATTAAATGAGATAAAGCATGTGAAGGACTTCATTGGTACAAAGTAAGCCCTCAACACGTGTGAGCTATTTTTCTTATTCCACATGACCACACATGTCCTCCCTGAATATAAGGCAGATGTCACGTTCTCTGTGGATTGTTTCACTTCTGGGGGAGGGAAGGTGATTTGGACTCTAAAACCCTTACTTTTTTCTTCCACCTCATGGGAAGTTGGGATGACTAGAGGCAGTCTTACCCCCTCTGCTGATGATCCCAGGATCCACCCTGCATCTGTCACTCACGACTAGCAACTTCCTTTACATATTAGACAGAAGTAGTGGGTGACCCTGGCAAGGGTCACGACTGTGACTCCATCCCTGTTACCAGCCGAGAGGATCAGGGCAGACACCATCTGAGACCTCTAGAATATATGGGTGTGGACTTACATGCCAGCATATTGGAAATGTACTTAACATGATTATTGGCACATTGTAGGTACTCTCCTTGCTCTGGTTCATCTTTTACTGTTTTCGTTTTGTTATGGTTTTTATAACTTAGGAAGAAGTTGGGGCAGACAGATTGTTCTCTTTGCGTATGTGGTTTGTGTGCATGTGAATAATTTCAGCATCTTTTAAAAAGTCATTAATTTCTTCATTTATCGTCTTTCTACAGTTATTTACTAAATACTTTATGCACAGAGGGAAGCCTCACTGACAATAATATTTAACATATCTTGGATATTTAGTATTTTCTAGACACTATTTAAAACATTTGAAACTTTATCTAATATAAACCTCATAATAACCCTGTTATTCGGTAGGGGTAGGTAGCATTATTATCATCCCCATCTTACAGATGAGGAAATTGAGGCACACAAGATCAGAGTCACATAGCTAGTAAAGGAATCAGTTGGGATCTGAACCTGTGTGGTCTGAATCTACGGGCTCCTCTCTTAGCCTCTCTACTGCCAGTCCTGATGGTGTTAGACTTGCTTGAAAATAGTTCGCGTTATTGAATTGTAGAAGGGTGGATTCAGAAGGATTGAATGATCACTTTTCAGTCTATCTGAGAATACCAGATTGCTCAGGCTATGGCTCATTGATTCCCTTGATAAAGGGTAGCATTTATAAAAGGCCAGAGAAGAGCTTTGGGACACATTTAATGGACGTGGTCAGCAGGGAGAGAGGGTGACGGGTGTAGGATGAGAAGGCCTCGGGTCTCTCTCGGGCAGCCTTTTGCAAGATTTAAGCCTTAATGCCCTAAGGTACCTGTTGTATGTGATGAACTAACTTCTCTCCTAGACATCTAAAATGGTCTTGCATAAGTGCTAACCTTGGGAGAATTGAGCAAATAATTACTCAAATAATTTGTGTTCTTTTTTTTTTTTATGACAGGTCATAGTCACTAGACTGCTTGCATGACAAGAATGGATGCATGCTCTGAATTTAGGAAGAGAAACTGTTTCTTCCTAGTCTGTCTGGGAACAGTTTCCCAGCTTTTGTTTGTGTTCCTCATTTGGAGGACAGTGTTTGTAACTTGCCTACACTGTATTTAAGACTATAATTTGATTTTAATTTCCTGTTATTAGCTTGGTGTGTCAATATGTAGTCCCATTCCCATAACTGGACTGAATTGATTATACCTTTTGAAAACATAAATAGCAAACTTGTGCAATAATATATTGTAAGTTATGGGAGGTCAACCTTTTTTCAAACTGATCTTAATAAAATCACACATAAACTTCTAGTCTTATAAAAGGTTACAGCCTCAGCTGTAAATTTTTAAAGATGTTTTTATTTTTATTTTTTATTTTTTTACATCTTTATTGGAGTATAATTGGTTTACAATGGTGTGTTAGTTTCTGCTTTATAACAAAGTGAATCAGTTATACATATACATATGTTCCCATATCTCTTCCCTCTTGCATCTCCCTCCCTCCCACCCTCCCTATCCCACCCCTGTAGGTGGTCACGAAGCACCGAGCTGATCTCCCTGCTATGCGGCTGCTTCCCTGCTATGCGGCTGCCTCCCATTAGCTATGTGTTTTACGTTTGGTAGTGTACATATGTCCATGCCACTCTCTCGTGTTGTCCCAGCTTACCCTTCCCCCTCCCCATATCCTCAAGTCCATGCTCTAGTAGGTCTGTGTCTTTATTCCTGTCTTACCCTTAGGTTCTTCATGACTTTTTTTTCCCCTTAGATTCCATATATATGTGTTAGCATACGGTATTTGTCTTTCTCTTTCTGACTTACTTCACTCTGTATGAAAGACTCTAGGTCTATCCACCTCATCACAAATAGCTCAATTTCTTTTCTTTTTATGGCTGAGTAATATTCCATTGTATATATGTGCCACATGTTCTGTGGTTCAAATGCAGATCCCCAGTTGACAAAAGGCTGCCTGGTGATCCATGCGTTTCATTTTCCTGGGATCATTTCAAAGCTTCAGCAACCCCAGTTAGATAAGAAACAAACTTTTGTTTTCAATATTTTCACCAAGTGATTCCAGAAGTTAACATACTGTTTTGTTTTGTTATTGCTGCCCTGTGTTATTGCCTGTGTTATTGCTGCCCTGTGTTATTGCTGCCCTGTGTTATTGTTTGTTTTGTTATTGCTGCCCTGTGACATTATTTTAGGCTAGCAACATTTTTTTAATTTTACTTAAAGATGTGAGTTTCATATGGTATTAGAAATTCAGGTTGAAGCATAGTGATTAGTAAAGAACTTGAAATTGTTTATATTTGATCAGTGACATGGTGACAGTTACTCTAAATGAGAAAGAATGGATGAATTATATTTTGCCACCAATGCAGAGTTCCAAAGGTCATAAAATAACATACCACAATCAGGAAGGTTTAAAAATGTTAATCATCAGATACTTATTAGAGAGAGTTTGAAAATAAAGTAAAAAATGGTTTGTGCCAAATTATGTGGCTGGACTAAATGGATTTGGTGGCACTTATGTTACTGTAATCACAGTTCATATTTTCAAATTCATGTAAAGGGGTTTGTCTCTCTTTGAACATTTGGAATTTCGGTCTTACTCATTAAATATGTTAAAGGTTGATTGGAATTGTTGACTGCTTTAATCAGTAGTCAAAGCAACCTTTTATATGTAAAAAAAAGAGAAACTTTCATGTGTAATTATTTTTTAAAAAGCCTTCTGTAGCATTTTTATTTATTTTTTAAATTCAAGAATTTATTTTATTATTATTATTTTTTTTGCCGTACACGGGCCTCTCACTGTTGTGGCCTCTCCTGTTGCGGAGCACAGGCTCCAGACGCGCAGGCTCAGTGGCCATGGCTCACGGGCCTAGCCTCTGCGCGGCATGTGGGATCTTCCCGGACCGGGGCACGAACCCGTGTCCCCTGCATCGGCAGGTGGACTCTCAACCACCGTGCCACCAGGGAAGCCCAGTAGTGATGTTTTAAAATACACAGAATTTGAAGCAGTTTGCTGAAGCTTTTTGACACATGACACAAAGATAGGGGTTTTAAATGTTTTCAGATAGCCACCAAAGAGATATTACTGCATGCAGATTTTTAACTTGTATTTACAAACATTTCATGTCCAAAGCATTGCAAAATGAGAGTCTTGATCTTTCCCATGTACCAAAAACACATTCACCTTAGATTTCAATGACAAATGTAGTGTTTTTAATATTGCTTTTTAAAATAAAAGCAAATATACACTCAAGATATAAAATTTGGACTATAGAGAAAGGAAGGAAATATAAGGAAGTAAAAGAAAATCACTCCAGAATCTCACCACCTAGAGATAATCTCTTTTAACAGTTTAATTTTTTGACAGCAAGAGTGAAATTTATCTCGTCTTGGTTGAGATTCTGCTAGAAGCAGACCCTGAGCTCAGGATTTTAGTACAGTGATTTATTAAGATAGTGCTCCTGGGAGGAAGAAGTAGGGGTGTGGGCATGCAGGCTTGGGCAGGGCAGGCAGCTCAGCAAGGGTGCAATTTTAGCTGAAAGGTCAGAGGTACCCTGATTCACCCGGGGTTCTGAACGTACCTCAGCTATCGTCTCCCCTTGAAGTAAAGAACCTCCCATGCCTGTCAGTCACTGGCTCTGGGCCGTGGGGCTGGGGGTTGTGGAACTTGTAGGTAACTTCTGGCTCCTTGCAAAGTGGCTCCAGTGCCCAAAGGGACCCTCTGAGGGTTGAGAGATGAGCCATTAGCAGAAAGGCATTTGAAGTTGGCGAATGGGCACAGTGAACTGATAAAAGGGATCCAACAGAGTTCACCATTCATGTTTATGCAAGGAGGCAGTAGATAATGAATAAATCCATTAATATTGAAGGATAGAAGTCGAGGCAGCAATGGTAAGTAATTAAGCGTTGTGTTTTCCTTTGCATTCAGCTTATGCTGCTGATAGTGAGGTTATTAACATCCATTGGTTTGTAATAATCGGTTTGATTCCCTGTTGCAAAAGCTGAGGTACAACTGATAGGCATACTGCCCTTAGACTGGTGCTAGCTCTTGAGGCCAGGTGCCATCCAGCGTGGCCTGGATTGAGGGGTGAGAGTGGAATGTAGCTGAAACGGGGACCGTGGGCGAATAGCAGGATCAGTTCTCAGCATCTTAGGGCCAGTTTTAAGATAGGAGAAAAGCAAGAGATCTAGATGCCTTGGGACAGATCAAGAAATGAAGAGCAAAAGGGAACAAAAGACACCACAAGCAATGCCTTGGCTGAAATTTATGAGAAAGGAGAGGAAACCATGGTGCCAGTAATCCAGATGATGAGTAGTTGGAAATTAAATTACATTTGACATTTAAAGTTATGTTTATGTTCATATTTACAAATGGATGTGCCTGATATAATGGGAGTTCTGCCAAACCAGGGAACCCTGGAATGACAGCATATCTTGGAGATGGAAAACTCAGAATCTCCCCTATCCTTCCTGGTGGCCCAGCTGCATCCTATTCTCCCATCTGTGTTGAGAATTACCTTTTGGACTTAAATGAGCTTGCTCCTTGGTTGACTTAACCATGCTGTTAAGAATGGGAGAAAAAAACTTAACATTTTAGATAAAATAAGGGACTCTCAAACCTTTTTTTTATAGTAACTATTGAGCTGACTTTAAAAATTCAGGGTGAAACTAAATATAGATGCTAGTGATGTCAACAAAGAGGACCTTTGGTGAAGTGAGGTCGTAAAGATTCACCTGCTAAATATTTAAAATTTTATTGTAAGTGATTTTATTTATTTCCAGGGAAAATCTAGTGCTCATCTAACTGACCCACTTTCAGTTCATCGTACCTATATACCTTGGTCCTTGCTGGTCCCTCTGCCAGGAAAGTCTCTTCTTCCTTATTCCATTATTTAGTTCCTTCAAATGTGGCATTTTCTTCATAATTTCTCCCCACTTGGGCAGAATTAATTATTCTCCTATGATGCGTTACCATAGCATAATTAGAGCACATTTTTTTAGGACTTACTGTATTGTATTATGGTTTCTAGTTTGAGTTTTTTTTTCTCCCTCCATCCAAACTGTGAGTTCATCAAGGCCAAGGAAGAGGTCTTATTTATCTTTGGGTTCACAGTACTTGTGATCCAGGGCAGTGCCACAGCTGTCTCATAAAAGCTCATGAGAGCTCATTGTACATAACTTCCCAACTCTGTGGTCAGTGATGTCATGTTTGTAGTTCACAATGTCCGGTTATTGACACCACAGAAATCAGCAAATGCTAACTTTAGGGTTCCCCCATGCAATAGTCAATTGTTAAAAATTTACCAGCTCTACACTGCCGGTGACATTCTGCTATATAGAAGATACTCAAAACCCCTTTGTTAAAACAAAAAACAAAAAAGAAAATAAACCCAATTGTTGAAATTGAGGCTCTTCTGATACAGAAAGGGAAATTGACCTTCTTTCTTCCAGGAGTCTCATCCGTTTAATTTGCGACTCTGTCATTATCGTGGGATTCCTAGGAGTACTGTTAATTATTGTAGGTTGTTATCACTGCAGGCTGTTAACAATGAGCATTTATGTTTGGATAAGCAACTAAAAATATGAACTTTTTTTGTTTCCTGATTATTTGGCTTGCAGGGTGGAGTTCTAGTAAAAATTACTGAAGCGTGCCCTCCTTTGAACTGCTCAGAGAAGGATCACATTCTCCCAGAGAATCAGTGCTGCAGTGTCTGCAGAGGTAAGAGGGCTTGGCGATGGAGCTTGGCGTGGAGATGGAGGGCAGGGATTGAAGGTTTACTGACTAGTGTGATGATAATAACAATTGTCCAAAACTCTGCTACTTAGATATGTGTATGTGCTATTTACTGTCCTCAGTTATAGTCTTATCAATTGTAAAACTGGGGTAATAATCCTATCTATTTCCTAAGACTGCTGTAAGGATTAAATGGGATAATGCATAAGCACCTAGCATCATGCCTACCACGTGATAAATATTCAGTGAACAGTGGTTCCTATAATAATAATAGTTCCTGCATCATTATTGCATTTTTTTCTCATGAGTGGGATTGGGAAACATTCTTATCAGCTCTTTCCATGGGCCAATTCCCCTATCTGCCAGAGAATGACATACACTGAATCCTTACTCATAGATTTATATACTGCTTTTTTACTTCCTGCAAGGAAAAAAGCTTCAAGTAAGTAACACTTAACTGCTAATTAATGTACGAGCAGAAATTATTTTGCTGCCTATTCCTGAAATTCCTCTCTTTTCCAAATTTATTTCTTCAAATCCTCTGGATCAAATATCACTTCCTCTCTGAAACTTCTCACCCAGGCAGAATTAAATAGATTAGGAGAATCTAAAATTGATTTGAAATCTTACAAAAAAACGTCCAGTTAAACTCATTGCTATTATTTTAAACCTCTACCCACCATACAGTCTTCTCCACATTCTCACATATCCAGTGAGTTAGATTCTTTTTGGTTTACCCTGGAAGCTTCTAGAGTTAAGAAGCCAGGAGCATAACAGTTTAGCTCAGTTTGTATCCTATCTTACTTTTTTCTGTCTTTTCTCTAACACAAGCGTTGGCAGATATTTTCTGTAAAGGACTACAAAGTAGATATTCTAGGCTTTCGGGGGCCAGAAGGTTTCCACTGCAACTACTCACCCCTGCTGTTGTATTGACAAAGTGGCAGAGGTGATAGGTAAATAAATTAGTGGATGTGTTTCATTAAAACTTCATTTTGAGAAACGGGTGGCAGCTCGTAATTCGCTGACCCCTCCTCTAGTACCTTCTGATATGGCATGTTTTCAGCTTGGGCTGAGATTTCTCTTTGTGGTTAGTCTAAGAGAGCTGTGTTTTGGTAAAAATTCCCAGGAAAACTTAGTACCTGGATAACCATAAATGGCTGTTAGAATTCGTGGTGTGCCGTCCGAGTATCTCCCCTGATTTATCTGCTTTCATGGCTACAAGTGTATTTGCAGCTCAGATGCTTTAGAAAGACTAAAGATTGACTGGAATTTCAGAGGGATGCATTTATTGGTAACTGATAGGGTTGTTAAGTAGGTCTTAAAATTTAAGGCAAAATCCATCCCTTGATATTTGTTAAGATGCCAAGTGGGACTCAGTTTATGTAAATCCTTTCTGATTTATGGTTTCATTCGAGCAGGATCATTGATTATCCCACAGAAATTCAAGAAGATTTTCATTGCTGTGACCCAGTTTACAACAGACTGGGTACCACAGCTTCTGCTAGCACTTCTCAGGGATGCAGAAACTTTTTTTTTTTTAACCAATGAAGATGCTGAGAGATGTGACATCTCATTGAAAAGCTGACTCATTTAAGTCTCCTGTTGCTAGCGACCTGGTGGCTTTTACCAAAGCTAAGTCAGCTTTGAGGGAAAAGCGGGAGGCGGGAATAGGGCTTCATAGATGCGATCATAGCCAGGGCCAATCTGTACAGTTGAGGATTTTCTTCTTCCTCCCACCTGCTTCCTTCTCAGCAGGGAAACTACCAGCTGTTTTATTTAGCAGCTGATGGTTTTTCTTGGAGGCGCGTGTGAGTGAGGAAGTTATTTATGTCCCTTGGCAAGTCTGTGTTTTAACAGGAACCAACGTATGTCTTTAGAAGAGATAGGGAAAAGGTGGAGAGGTTCTTTTCCTGAGAAGCAGGTTGAATGAAACCATTTGGGTATATGGATTCTCTTAGGTTTCTCCTATTTATTCCTATCTCAGAATTCAGACCCTAGAATGAAAAAAGCATTATTTTTGACTGAAGCCCTTGTCAGCACCATTTACTGTCATTACCTCCTTTCCTGTTGACCCATAGCAGAGAGGAGCCCAGAACATTCAGCCCACTTTTCCACATACTGGGACTTGCTCTGCACATTGGACAATCAGGAAATGAAAAGGATATTTGTCTGGGCAGTGGGGTATTCTCTTTTTCATAAAAATGTAAAATTTATGTGATGATAACAAAAAAATCCATCCAGATGCGCTCAGAGGTCCATTGTCTTGAGCTATGCTCTCCATGAATTTTGCTCTGTGTCTCTTAATTCCAATTTATTTCCCAACAGCGTCCTTAAAAGTAGCCTAAGAGTTTCTCACAATATTGTGGGAGATATTTTTCCCCTTTGACTTCTGTTTCTTTTACCTTTTCCTCTGTGCTCGTGTTTTCTGAGTGGAGTCTTGGAAGATGAGGGGGGCTGGACAGTTTTGATTCTAATTAGCCTGGGAAAGCCCGCTGGGCCTCTTCTAAGGCACGTTATTCAGTTCTCTTTCCCCCTCCTCCTTGCCCCTCAAAACCAGAAAGTAATGAAAAGATGAGAAACGCTCAATATCTGTGTAAACTAATTTTTATCCTGCATATGGCGAGGCTATACCATTTGCTTTGTGGATTGAGACTGTCTCCTGATTGGCAGGCAGCGAGCGAACAGAGAGAGGTAAAACTGATGACCTGAAATACTTATTTCAGGGATGAGCACAGCGTGTGATTTCAGCTGTGTGGTTTCTGCCACCCTGATATTATTGATTACAGACACTGAAGTGGCTGTAGCCTCTTTCAATACCTGTACTGAAGGCCCTTCAATTAGCATATTTATCATCTCTCTTTGTCTTACTGGGAGTGTCAGATCTTTAGTCTGAGGGAAATCACCCCTCAGTATCATCTCTCAGAAATCTGAGTCAAAACCTTTCTCATGCCTGATTGGGGATTTGAAGTTTTCCAAGGTTTATTTTCATTAGGTTTAGACTGGAATTTGAGAAAGCACAGACAGTGCTATTTGCCCCCTGTTGGTCGATTAAATAGTATCCATAAAGCTCTCCAACTTGGAAAAAATAACGCTTGTTTTTTTTTTTTTTTCTGCGGTACGCGGGCCTCTCACCGCTGCGGCCTCTCCCGTTGCGGAGCACAGGCTCCGGACGCGCAGGCTCAGCGGCCATGGCTCACGGGCCCAGCCGCTCCGCGGCATGTGGGATCTTCCCGGACCGGGGCACGAACCCGTGTCCCCTGCGTCGGCAGGCGGACTTTCAACCACTGCGCCACCAGGGAAGCCCTAATGATTACATTTTATGAATCGATTCTTTGAATGTAGGAGAAAAGGGAGGGATGAAGATATGTTCCTCCCATAGAGAATAGTCCTGTCGTTTTCATGTCAATGACTGAATGAAATTATTTTCAGTACCAGCTGAAGGCTCTGTTTCATCTGTGAGATAGTGTTAAGACCCATTTTGCAGAGTTATAACTTGTTTCCTCAAGACCTAACATGTTGGCTTGATTATGAAGCTAATTTTTTTTTTTTTTTTTTACACTGAGTCATGCCCATTTTCTGACATGGTGGTATGGTGATACAGCTCCCTCCCCGCCTTGCTTCCATTCAAGGAGAGAGGTGCAGATTATAGCTTTATACTGGGTTTTTCTCTTTGTGGGAATCAGACCTAAGACCTTCGAGTTAAGAATAACAGGCTCTGGCTGATTTATACCGTTCATTGTATCAGCAGAACCGATATCCAGACTCGGTGCTTGGACACCTTGCCTCTTCAAATCTTGGGTAATGACAAATGCTGTAACTAATTTCTCTACCCTTCAGAGAAAAATGAAGGTCATCAGCTGAACAGGTAGTTATATCCACAGGGCTACTGTTGCAGCCAGGATACTGCAGGACAGTTACGGAAGACACATGCAAAAAGAATCAAGATGTTAGACGTTGGCAGGGAGAAGCCACTTTGCAGTTGCTGGGGTCCAAGGTCTCAGTCACCAGCTGCACTACCCAGAACAGCCCTAATCACTGGTGCAGTTTGTTTCTGATGCCTCAGGACAGTTTGTGCTGGCAGCATGAAATTTGTTTACCCTCATCATTACCTTGAGGTAATGGCTATAGCAGGAGCCTGTCCACTTAAGCGTAAGGCCACGAGGGTGGAGAAAGGGGAGTGGGTACTGGAGTGACATCTATGCTTCTGCCTTGGAAGGAGTAATAAAAGTATGGATGTAGCCCCAGCAGAAGAAGATTGCTCATAAATTGCCAGTGCTCTCAGTTGAAGGGGGAACAAAAGCCAACTTGACTGTGTCTTCTCAGGATTGCTCCAGGAAAACACACCAATCGTTTGGCTCATCCCAGAATTCTTGCTACACTCCTTAGGGTTTTATTCCCTTCATAATTGGCTCTAATTTTATCTTCAGTGTTGCCAGTGACTTTGGAGGGTTTGGCTGCATGTTTAAGATTTTCAGTGTTGAGGAAAACGTTCTTTCTGACATCTGTTCCCAGTGTGTTTATCTGTAATTTTAATTCATGCCCACTTGCCTTGTCATCTGGCCTGGGCTGAAATTAGTTGAGACAATTATTTGTACTACTTAAGATTTTATGCCCTTCAGTTAACTCCTCCCAAAGAGTCTTGGTGTGGCATGATTTTCTTGTTTTCTAGACCTCCTCCTCATCTTAGATGAATTCGTAACTGAAATGGTTTTAGAGGCTTTCAGTGTATTTGAGATGAAAAGAGATCTGTAAAAGAGGCACTTAATCAGAAGGTAAACTAGTGCCTGTATAGAGGAACACATAGTTTATAGATGGGTCAGGTCCTCTGCATATTGATAGATGGAATCTGATCAAAATACCTGCAGCCGTGGGCCACAGTGGGCACTGGAATGACAGGGCTATAGGCTCAACTGTTGAGGTTGGAAACAGAGGGCATTTGGAGAAGAGTTCAGTCTCAGGGAGCCCTTGAATTCTGTGTTCCTGAA